AACGAAAATTTTGAACGTCGACACGCGAAAACGCATTGACACAAGCACACACAGATGCACGTGCAATGGCGGAGACCAGTCCCGATACACGTGCAAAAGAATAGCGGGCAAAAAAAAAAGGAAACTAAATAAATATACATATCCAAATCTAGTGTCGATTAGTAGTGAAAATATTAATGCATGTTCCGCTAAGAAGCACACACGCGCACCGGGTTACACCTCCCCAGAATCAGCGACAAATCAAGAAACAACATTTTTTTTAATCAATTCATCACAAGCAAGGCGACAATGCCACTAAGACGCGAAATCTTTAGTGAGGAGAATGAACAATAAATTAACACGATTCGAGAAGACAGAAGATAACGATTAGCGTTGAATTTAGAATTTTGAAGATTGTCGGTGGCGGAGAAGCAAGAAACAGGAGGAGTGTTCCACAGGTGAGAAATGCGAGAAAATAAATTATTAGAATAGAAAATGTTTATATCTAGCTAGTTCATCAGTAAAACAGTGAGACCTAATTGTCAATCTAATAGCAAGCTCAAATTCGTGCAGTCGATGTTCAAACGAGGAAAGCTGTTCTGATGAACAATTGCCATGAAAATGTTTGTAGAAAAGACAGAGGGAAGCCATGTCACAGCGGCGGGTATTTGACTGAAGCCGAGATGCCAGGTCAAGATCGATTACATTAGAGACGCTTCTTTAGAAAATCTCGAAATATGTGATAGAAGCACCAGAACAGATATGGTAGTAATATTCAATACCCGGACGAATGCTAAGTTTATGTGCAAGACAGATTCTAACGAGACAAATTTGCAATAGTAATGAATCTACGGGTTCGCATTTGGCGTAACGGTTACCGGAGCGGAAGGTGGAATAGGAAAGCAGAGTTCAATTTCTAGGTTAGGTAGTTTTGTTTACTTGCGTATAAAATTAACTTCTACAGGGTGCACAGTAAAAAACAAAAGAAAAAGGTAAATTCAGAAATATATTTTTATTTTAGCTAACATGATTCATGCACAAACAGAACAATCATCGTAGATGCTCGAAATGTTTGCCCGAATGATCAACACAATGTTGTAAGCATGGTAACCAGAAGGCAGTAGCTTTATTCAAGGTCATGAATATTCAAGAAATTTATTCAAGGTCACTTATTCCTAAAAGATAAAACAGTGATAATAAATTTACCACTTTTATTTACTGTGCACCATTTTTTCTTGTCACTTCTTTGGGAAGTTTTCAAGTGAATTTGATAGAGTTTATGGTTTTGTATCGCCTCTCTGTAAACCATGATTTTTCTTGGGAGTATGGCCGTCAGTAAGAGGATGAGCCCGAAATGCTATCTCTAGGTCGGGAACATTAGAATCAAGCAGACGCGGAAGTTTAAATACCTGGGAATTGTCTTGACAGAGAACGGTAAGTGAGGTCTGTAGGCGTATTGGGATGGCCAAGGACATATTCCAAAAGTTTGGAAGAGTACTAGGAGACAGGAGAATATCTTTGGTAACAAAGAAAAGAATACTGAACAGTTACGTGACATTTGTCCTCCTTTACGGCAACGAATATTGGCCGATTTCCTCAAAGATGAAGAACAGACTCGGAGCGAAAGATGTGGTTCTACAGAAGGATGCTAAGAATATCATGGACTGAGCGTGTGAACAAATATGAGATGTTATAGGGGTTGTAAACAAGGAAGAGTTTTATACTTAATATTTAGAAGAGGCAGCTGAAGTTTCTGGTACACATAGTGAGGAAGGAGGGCCTGGAGAATCTGATACTCACGGGTCGAATAGAGGGAAAGTGAGACAAAGGAAAACAACGCCTGACATACCTGGCTGACTTGAGTGGATGACAGAACATTGTCTGAGGGAGAAAGCAAAAGGAAGGAAGTTGTTGAGAGGTGCAAGGGATAGAAGGAGGTGGAGAGCCATGATCGCCTACGTCCTGAAAGGACATGACACATAAAAAGAAAAGAAAGTATCACCTCTCTGTAAGTTAGAATTCGAACGTTATGTGAAATCTTCGAACAATTACCACACAACCTGAGTATACATCAATTTTATTAGGAGAATGCTGTGGATACATTTCAGACTAATTTCTGAAATGAAAGTATTTAATCTCAGAACGTCCGTGAGTATTTAATCAAAAATGAGCCCGTTTATTAGCCGGGCGTGTGAGGATTAAAATTTCCCGCTAACACACGGAAAACGCATAAACACACGCGCTAAAGAAGCCAGAATGGAATATTCAAATTATTTTTGCAGAACGGAAGAGAAAGATTTCAGCTGGATAAGATAGTTAAATTCTTATGCATATGAAGAACCTTTTTCGTTTTTATTTTTCGCTTAATTCCAAATATTGCATTGATTAGCAGTCGAAAATCTTTATAAAAGCCACTCGACCATCTCCCAAAAAACAAAATAGAAAAATACTATGAAACGTGAAGATTATTGATCAGTTAAGATATAGGGAACTAGACATCTAAAGAAAGGGATATTTAACTGATTTCTGTAGAATTTGTATTGTATTTTTTTCTTTGTTTTCATAGATTTTAATCGGAAATATCGAATCGATTCAGTATCATGTACGTTTATATTTCAGAACTCAGTTACACTTCCAATAAGACCCCAGCAGTTCCTCTTCCTTTCTGTCCTTGATTTTCGATATTTGCTTCTTTGCTGTTTATCATTTTGCAATTTTATTAATTTTGTTTTTCTTTCAAATTATTCTGCCCTTTTCCCCTTCTCTCCTCCTCAAGGAATTTACTCTTCGTCCAATTGTTAATGTCAATCACGCTATTCTTCATAGAATTCATTTTTTATATTTTACGTTTTGTTAAAAAGCCCGGCATGCGAATAACAAATATGAGGTACCGAAATCCAACAAGTACAAACATTTAAATATCTAGGAAGTTTTTTAACAGAGAAAGGAAAATGCGACACCAAAAAACGTGAGAGCGAAACAGGCCTTCCAAAATGTAAACAATGTATTGAGAACCAAAAATATTTCGTAAGAAACAGAGTGAAGAATACTGAACTGTTATGTAATATCAACCCTCCTATATGGCAGTGAATTTTGGACAATCTCATCCAGATTGCCTTGTGGCAACAGAAATATTGTTATAAAGAAAGATGCTGAGAATAATACTCATACTTCGAATCAGAAAAAAAGAAACAATTATACTTCGAATCAGAAAAAAAAGAAACACTTATACTTTGAATTAGAAAAAAGAAACAGTTATATTTAGAATCAGAAAAATACATTTAAAATTTCTTGAACACATGAGGAAAGAGATCTTGGAGAATTTGACATTCACAAGACGCATTTCAATATGGACTGATCCGGTGACCACTAAATGGTTGATCCTGCCACACCTTAATAACCTGATTGACTATAATGCAACAAAATATAAACTCGTCATATGCTACATTAAATCTGCTCCATTTACCAGTGCAATGTTAACACACTGAGCTGCAGTCTGTGAATATACAAAGTGCAGCAAAAATATATCCCATATTTTAAACTATCAACTGTGTGCTGCTCGTGAACTTATGTAATTTACAAAGGTCTATTCATCTACCTAATGTTTTAACATTATATAGGAATTATTTCTAGCACATCTCGTAGCTAATGTCTTGGTTGGGACTTCTGCCTCCCCCTGCATAGAGAAAAAAAACTTGGGTGAAACAAGAGTAAAGAACCACTGCTAGAAATAATTCCGTTCATTCCTTATTTTTCATTATTTCGTAAAGTTTCTGTATTTAATTTTTATAAAGACACCTTTTTCTTTTGCTATTTTTTCGGCATTTTCGTTGTTCCTCTATTGGAACAGTAATAATTTTCTTGCCTTTTTCTTTCATTTATTCACCCACGAATAATTTATTTATTTTCTCCTTGTTATTATTTATCATTCAATTCAGTCCTTATTCTTCCTGATCTTTCCATTAACTTCCCTCTTATAAATACTCACATTTGCTTTCTTTTCTTTTTTTTTTTTTTTTTTTATTTCTTCCCATATTTGGACAATAATAATTTTCCTTCATTCTTTTTTTTCATTCTTTCATCCATTCATTACTTTCCTTATCACTTTCTGATGCCCAATTTCCTCCTATTCTTTCCAATTTTCATTCTTCTCTCGGTAAATGCCTATAATTTTTGTATCGGTGTTGTTCCCATCAGGATATACCAGCCATGCTGATGCCCAAATCAGAAATGTATTATAAAGAAATAATAAATGAAAAGGCTATTTTTGGTTTTCTTTGTTTTTCACTTTTGTTTTCGTATTTTTCTTTAATATTCCCACACTTCCCTACACTGTCGCTTGCTTTCTCCAATGCCTATGTCAACCTTCTTTGTCAGCATCAGTGATATGCGGCTAGAGAGGGGAGTGAAACTGTTCGTTACAAATCCAGGCCCCACAAAGTTGATCAAGGGTTCTATCGATGAGAAACAAATGTATTGATTGGTCAATTTGTAATGACAGAAAATGAAAAAAAAAAAACGAAAGGAAGTGGAATAATTAGGGAAGATGACGAAAAATACATCACGGACGAAATAGAACGAAAAGGGAGATAGTTGAGGAGAGAAAGGAGCAAGGGAGAGCAAGGGAGAGCAAGGGAGAGCGAAGGGTGAAAACAAAGAGGAGACAAATAAAAGGTAGCAGTGACACAGCAGCTGGAGGATAGAGTCAAACGAAGGCGAAAAAATCAAGGAAGAGAAGAAAAATATAGAAGATTAAAAAGGAACAAGCGATAGTAGAGAGATCTTATATCAGAAAATGATGGAGGAGAGAACGGAAAGAGAAAATACAATGGGAAGAACCCGTCAAGAATGAGAAGAAAAAATGAACGGGTGAGAAGAGTGGAGGAGGAGGAAAGAAAATCAAAGGAGGGGAGACGAAAAGTTTAAAAGAGAAGAAAGAAAATAGCAGAGTTGTAATATCGAGATGATAGAAAGGTGAACGATTAAAGAGGAAAAAAAACAACAGAAGAGAAGCCAGCAAATCAGAGCAGAATGAAGAACAGACAAGAATAACGAGGAAGAAACGAGAATGGACGAAAGGTGATACGATTACAGAATAGAGGAAAAACGAAAAATACGAGAGCAGAGAAAGATGTCGAAAAATTAAAGAGTAAAGATTTTAAAGAGTTGGAGGGGAGGAGACAGAATGGGGGGAGGAGACACAGTGGGGGAGGAGACAGTGGGGGGAGGAGACAGTGAGGGGAGACAGAGTGGGGGATGAGACAGAGTGGGGGAGGAGGAGACAGAGGAGGGAGGAGGAGACAGTGGGGGTGTAGACAGAGTGGGAGGATGAGACAGAGTGGGGGAGGAGATACAGTGGGGGAGGACACAGTGGGGGGAGGGAGACAGTAAGGGCAGAGACAGAGTGGATGAGGAGTAGACAGAGTGGGGAGACGGATTGGGGAGAGGAGGAGACAGAGTGGGGGAGGAGTAGACAGAGTGGGGGGGAGGAGACAGTGGGGGAGACAGAGTGAGGGATGAGACAGTTTGGGGAGGAGGAGACAGAGTGGAGGAGAGGAGGAGACAGATTGGGGGAGAGGAGGAGACGGAGTGGGGGGAGAGGACAGGAGAGATGATATATGACAGATATTCAGGATATTATTTAACCTTTAAGGAAAAATCAAAGAGTAAAGATTTTAAAGATTTGATAGAGAGTGGGGATAAAATGTAGTTAGGAGAGGAGAGAGAGAGAGAGAGAGAGAGAGAGAGAGAGAGAGAGAGAGAGTGAGAGAGAGGAGAAGGAGAGTGAGAGAGGAGAAGTTATAGAGAGTCGATATATGACAGATATTTAGGATATTCTTTAACCTTTAAAAAAAGGAAAGAAAGAATTAATTAGCAAAAAATGAAAGCTGCACGATTTTATGTGTTGGTATGTAACAATAAGATGAAATGTAAGGAAAGTTTTCAGCCCAACCAAGACACATTTACAAATAAAATAAATACATAAAATTGAATCCGATGTTTTAAATAGAGTTGCGCCGATTAATCGGCTCATAATCGGTAGTTTAATTATCCTCAGTTATGATTTAGAAAGAAACAAACACATAATGAAAAATATCTGAATATTATTTGAATTCATTCTATGGATAACTTTTGTACAGGCAATTTGGTTCAGTGTCTTGTGTTGTGGAGTGATTTCGCAGTGGAGGCTTGTATTTGTATTAAGTTGGTCCTAAAATAGGTTCGACGTACAAAACGTTAGGAACTTGATATAATAGGAATGACGCAGAGTAATCTAGTTGTTGTCGCTGATACTTTCGTATTCGACTAACTGTCGTCCGACATCGACTGACTGACTGACCGACTCACTGAATGACGATATTCAGTCACTACCCCCAAGAGGGCGTCATGTGGCACAAGGCATTTTTAACGTGGGCTCGGCCAAAAATATGCCCATTGAACCCGTATAAACGTGTTCAGGGTCGGTTTACCTCCTCGAAAGAGAATCCGCCCTTGGGCGTAGCCTCGTTCGGGTTCCTCCCCGCCCGAAGGCAGAGAGTTCAACCGATCAGCCAGTCGACTGACTGACTGACTCCCCCCGTTACTCTTACTACTCCTATTTATTATAGGTGGGAGAGTCTATTAACTATAGAATAGGTGTGTTCCACGATAACATCTTGCAAGAACATCTTTCTCGACAGAATACATATTGCATATTTATAAATTTGATTCGTCCTTACCTTGAATACTACTGTTATATCTGGTCTTGTGCTCCTTCTGTACATCTCAAGATTCTTGACAAAATCCAAAGAAGGATCTGATATTTAACTAATCCTAACATGACAATTTGACTTCAGTCATTTTCTCACCATCGCAAAATACCTTCCCTCTGTCTTTTCTACAAATACTTCCATGGCAACTGCACACAAGCTTTTTTCCCCTTGGGGCCCCGACAAAATGAATTTAAGCCCGCTACTAGATCGGCATTTAGGTTTTACTGTTGAACTAGCGAGATGTAATCGTCACTTCTACACTAACAGTTTCTTTTTGCCCTTCCCAGCTGTGTAACTCCCTTCCGATTCATTGCTTCCCTGATGAATGTCATCTTCCGTCTTCTTGAACTCTGTTCCATTTTTGTTATTTCCTCAATCCTTCCTATTCTCAGTCTTCTTTCACTACCCGTAACCCCCTGTGTTCAGGTGGCATTAACGCCTTGCTTGGAGTGTATCGATTAAAAAATACGTCGGTGCTGTATTAAGCAAGGATGACAAAATAGGAAAACTGATTAATCAGGGTGAAAGTCGATGATTTAGTAATCGCCAAATGCTGATGTAACCGATTATTAATCGATTAATTAGTGCACGTCCTAGTTTGGACATTTGGTCAAATTTTGGGAAATGAGTCGGACCAAGAAATATCTCAGCACTCTTTTGATTTACTAAGAAACCGGTTAAAGTCACAATGCAAGCATATGGAATCTGGCCTACAATTTCTTGCATGAATCGGCAAGATTTTATGATTGCCAGGAAGGATCGCAAAGCTGGACAGCAAAAGAACTGAAGATTGGTTAGAAAACGTGCAAACAATTTGCTAGGTAAAAAAAAAACGGTAAGAGAGAAGAATCAAAAAGACAAAATGACGTGTACAAATGGAATCCGATGGACTGTAGAAAAAGAGAAAGGATAGAACACAAATAGATCGATTGATGCGAATGATAAAAAGAAGCAAGATAGATGGTTATGAAGAAGAAAAAAGGAAAAGAAAATTAACGATGCAGAAATACTAAGAAAGGAAAAAAGGGATTTATATACACCAAAGACTAATGCTAATTCTGAAAAAAAAAAAAAAAAAAAAAACACAAAAAAAAAAAAAAAAAACAAAGTCAAAGAGCTTTCTCGAAAGAAACATTCGTTGGATTAAATAAAGATGATGTTTTTAGGTCCGTTGGAGAGAATCGTCAATCGGGTCGGAAATTTCCAGCCCATTTTTCCATTAATGGGAAATTTTGCTTTGATTAGACAGGGACTCTCTAGTTTTAGGAGGAGAAAAAAAGAGACACGAAAGAAATGTAGCAACAGGCCGCGAGCAGATGAGAGACTACGGAAGTAAGAACGTTGTAGTTAGGGGTGAGGCTTGCTGATCAGTGGAATCAAAGCAAATGAAAGAAAAAGCCAGAAAAAAATGTATGTATTTTATTTATATATGGAAGATAGGAATATAACTAAATATTTGTGTTTACATATTGAACAAGTTATATAAAAACAATTTTATAGACATTAGCTTTCTTAGCCCATCACACACACACACACACACACACACACACACACATATATATATATATATATATATATATATATGTCTGTGAAAGTATGTATGTCATGGTTAGTGTATAATGCATACATAATACGTTATTTTTGTGAATACTCGTGTTTGAAATAGACGCCGTGTTTTATTTTAAGTAGTGTCATACGTTTATCGTCCTGAGCAATCGGGAAAAATACTAAAGTTATTTATTAGTTTTTTTTTTCGACAGGTTTTCTGAGTTGAATTAATAAAAAATATCGGAATAAAAGCGAATCAATTAATTCATAGGCAGATGACGTATAAAGAGATAGGCAGATGACGGATAAAGAGATAGGCAGATGACGGATAAAGAGATAGGCAGATGATGGATGAAGAGATAGGTAGATGACAGATAAAGTGATAGGCAGATGATGGATAAAGTGATAGGCAGATGACGGATGAAGAGATAGGCAGATGACGGATATAGATAGGCAGATGATGGATAAAGAGATAGGTAGATACTCAAAATCTAAAGGTAAATTTTCATATCACATTATTTATATACAAATGAAAATGAGATATAACTTTTTTTTATCATTTCGCACCAAGCAAGGCTATAAAGCCACTAATAAGCAAATGCTTATAGTGAGTGTAAGAGATTGAGAAGACTTCAGTGAATAGAAAGTACAAGAAAAAGACAATATTCAGGATGACAGAACATGGCGATTAGCGGTGCATTTACATTTTCGGAAAATTCTAGATTGCAGAGAAGCAAGAATTTGGAAGTGAGAAATGCGAGAATCGAAATTATTAGAATATAACACACACTTACATCTATTTCAACAGTAAAACGGTGAGACCTAGATGCCAATCTAGTAGCACGCTTAAATTCATTAATATTCATCGAGGAAAGAACATTAGAAAAAATGCTATGAAATTAGATGTAAAAATGACAGAGCGTGGTCACATCACGGTAGTCTAGAAGCCTATCCGACCAACACGATTTTTAGGAACAATCGGATTCAGTCAAATATTTGTCCAGCTTTAAGGTATTTAAAGCTGCAATCCAAGTTTTTTCGTTCTTTTCCAAAGCTTCAGATTCAGTGATAGCCAACACATCAGCGGTATACTTGGGGAAACGGAAGCGATATTGATTATCCGAAAGGAGGTTGTGTCAAGCATCTTGCCTGAATTCAGAGTTGATTATTACCTCTAATACACTGACAATAAGACGTCAAATAGGGGCGATAATTTGATAGATCATAAATTACAGAAAAGGATTTTCAACAAGCAGGAAAGCAAGAAAAAAACGCAGGCAGGATTTGAATAAGCTTGATCGGCAAAGTTCTTCGTAGCTGAGTCGGTTAAAGCAGATCGGGTTTAACGACAATCCCCTCTGACCAGAAGGACAAAGGTTCGAATCATGCCAGAGAACGCATAATTTTCTTTAATAAGATTTGTCGAATAGTGTGGCTGGTAGATGAAAATAAATATACTGCTTAATAAATAAACAGCATCTACTAAAATTAATTATATATATATATATATATATATATATATATATATATATATATATATATTATTTACATTATTCTGACTATTGTCCTCATCTTGTCGCCATATTTATCACAACATTTCGGCCGTTGTACGCTCCGGCCTTCTTCAGGTGGAAGGAATGTCGAACTGAACCCTTTATTTCCCTCACTGGGGTAGACTGTTCTAGCGAGTTTTTCCTGGTGTCGAAAAAGTTTGATGTCATTTGGTACCTTGTAAAGGAACCTGCCAAATTATCTATTTGTTTTCGAGTACTCTGGAAAGCCATGGTCGTTTTCAAGGTAAAAATGGTCGAAATTCGATAAATAGCTAAGTTTTAAATGGATGTGTATTCACGAAGCAAATATGACTTCAAAGCTTAAAGAAAACTAAGCAAGTGTGCGTCATGATCGAAAGACGTTTTATTGATGGTGGATTGCGTTCTTACAATGTAAAGGACTTCGAAGATTTGTAATAGATTTTTTGTTTCTGTTTACATTTGAGTTGACGAAGATCTTTTTATCGAACTAAATCTGACGAAAAGTAAGCTAGTCATACAAAAAAATGTTTTTTGACAAATCTAATATGCCTGTCTTATATATCGATTAGAATTGATAAACTTTGCAAAGTTCATTTTTTTTATTCTGAGTGCGTTCGACTGTTATTACAATAGTTATCAAGAGTTGCGGGTTTTGTCTATTTATGAAAAATGTGTTTGGATAATTCTGGCGTTACTTAGTTTGCTATGAGCAATTTCAAGTCACTTAAACATCATTAACAACGGTCAAAATTAATTTTTAGGTATTTTGTTATTTTAATTAGGATATAAAAGTTAGAAAAACTTGTTGGCGCTGTTAAAGACAACGTGGTTTATACTAAGCTCCTCTGTTTGTTGTATTGAGCCGGTAATGTATATGACTTGTATATAATGTGTCAAAAATTCCCTTTCTTTCTAGCGTGGTACTGATGGCCATGGTGAGAGTCTCCGTCTGATGTCAAATCGGTCGGGTTTCGATCGCGGCTTGAAGCAATCGCATGTCTAATCACACTGAGGAGCTATGATACAGCGAAACAATCTGTTCAGAATTTATATATATATATATATATATATATATATATATATATATATATTCGTTCATTTCGTGTATATATATATATATATATATATATATATATACACGAAATGAACGAATAGTTGGAAGTTCGATTTCCGACTATGATACCCGGATTCGAATCTCATCTTGTCATTGGACTGGGGAGACGATCTCAGCATGCATCAGCTTTGGAAAATGTCTGAAAATTATACCAGGAATTGAACTAAGCCCTGTCAGCGAAACTGAGTAGACGAAACTGTTTGAAATCCCTCATTGGTTGTGTTGGCAAGAAGTCGCAAGTCACTGTATCCACGTTTTTGAGCGTACTGGCCTTGTTCAGGCTGTTGATCAGGTCAGAAAATACGCTCTTTCCCAGAAACTCTAGCTAAATGTTCGCTCATCATCGTTCCAGTATAAACCAGAGGTGGACTCTCTGGGTGTTGAACAAGCACAAACGTGCCTGAGCACAACACGGATTGGCTAGCCACCCTAGTAGACAGGCCACTCAGATACCAGTGGTCATCGGCCATTATTTATTATTCAAACAAAATTCTCAAGGCCCTCTATATATCAAAATCAACCAACCAACATTATACAACATTTATTACGAATGTAACAGCAACGTATTGAAGGACACAAACATTTAACGCCATTTTGCATTTCTATGAATTTCCGGTCAAATTCGTTACTGTGAAACGCTTGCTTTGCAAAAAATTCCATAACTTTAATGGATAAATTAATTTTTAAAAAATAATTATAACAGAGCGTATTCTCGTGTTTTTGTGTAAAAATCACCATCACAATAAGTTTGTCTTTGTAATTTACCACTGAAGATGATCTTCGACAAAACAGAAAGTATTCTGTTTAGAAAAAAGTACGCCTTTCTTGATGAATTTCATCTTAACATCAAAAACTGATTAGAGACTTGAAAAGGATCAGTATAAAAATAAACAGACGTAATAGATCTATATTATTCAAATATATAAGTTTGAATGAAGATATGCTGCGCTCATATATATATATATATATATATATATATATATATATATATATATATATATATATTACTACACACAAATTAATGAGCATTAGTAAAATTACTGCCTGACATTTTGATTTGAAATATTCATTATAAGATGTTCGATCTATTTTCACCGGTGATTTAAATACGATGCCAAGGAAGGAGAAAGTATTTGCTAATTGAAATAAATGTTTTTTTCATTAGGTTACAGAGTTACCTACGAAGAGAATGTATTGAAGTTAGGGTTAGCACAAAAAAAAAAAAAAAAAAAAAACGGGAAACTGTGGACTCAACTCCCAATGTCGCTGGCGGGAAGAGAATTGGTTGCAGCCATCAATTGCTTTCGATCTACGTTGCGCTTCTTTATTTGTAGTCAAAACTATTTCTGTCCTCTGTCTAAAGTGAGTAGGCCGTCGAGATGAAACAACAAATGTCTGGCCAACGCCTCTAAAGCAATCACATTAATGGGAACAAAAAGCCGTTGATGGGGTTTGAAGGTAGAATAAAATAGTGCAAGCGCAATGGGGGAGTTGAATCAGGTCAAACCAGGTGTCTGGCTGAGACCTCTTCAATGGTTAACTGACTAGACTCTTTGCTTATCATGAACTGCATTTTGAGAACGTGAACGTTTTATAAGTTGGAACCTAATAAAAATTAAGTAATATATATATATATATATATATATATATATATATATATATATAAGTTTATTTTCATAAAAGGTTTCGCACAGTGAGGAATCAAACAGAGATTGGGTTTTTGCAATTAATATGATCTCCACCAGAAAATACACCGCCTACAAAACCATCTGTCAGTGAGTAATTCCCATTTCTCTGTTTATTTCTCGCCCTGTTGGCGAAGGAAACGGGCGTGTCCGAAAATTCCGGACTTAAGACCTTTCTTTCAGTGCATAATTTCTGTCATATGGTTAATAATTAATATTTAATAGATGTTTTCGTACTGATTATATTGGTACGCTTCCGTTTGTTCTTTTATTAAACTATCTATTTTACACACGCACGCACACACATGCACACACGCACACACACATATATATATATATATATATTGGCGAGTTTTTAAAACGTTCACTTTCTAACCATGAGACCCGGGTTCGAGTCTTATCGTAGTCGACTTATCAGGAAGGTGACTTCTTGATCCCAGCGTACGGACGGCAGTTTTGGAAAGTGCCTGTAAATCCATGCTACGTGAAACCTTGTGAATTAATTTGGGTAGATAGCAATATTTGGGCTGGTTTGCTAGCCCGAAGATGCAAGCCTTCGTGACAGGATTTCAGCGTATTGGCCTTATTCAGTCTATTTATCACGCCAGATAATGGACTCTTTCTTTGAAACTGTAAGCTCAGCTCAGCATATTTACAGTATGAACCGCAGGTGGGCTCTGTAGGAGTTGAACAAACCCAGATGTGCTTGAGTAGGCGTCTGCAATAGGGATGGGCTAGCCACCCCCAGTAGCAGCAGCATAAGGACACTTACTGTTCTAGAAAGTAATGATGAAAAATAAAATGAGGTATGGTTCCATACCTCATTTTATTTTTCATCAAACTGATCGCCTTTCATCAGACATGATAAATGTAACTTATGTCAAAATCCCTGCAGAGATAAAATAAGCATGGCTTATTTCTATCAACAATCTGTTGTCAGTAGCATGTAGCTATGACATATGGCGTCTCGAAGGTATTGTTTGACTTGTCAGTTAAGGCCATCACCGGCAAATAATCAAATTATGATTCTATAAAACATCTTTCGACTGAGAGAATATACAAAGTGAATATCTTTATATTATACTAAAATTCTAATCGTCTACGCATGTATGTTAGTTTCAGACATACAACTTAAACGATGCATAATACCATAACGATGTTATAAGCATATTGTGCCTGCAATGCCAAATTTCAATAAAATAAGACAATGACTGTTTTTCTGTTTTTACGTCAATTTTAATAGGAATATTTGTTTTGAATATATATTCTTTTATCGATCTGCTTATATACCCAAATACTCGCATTTTATTTTCCAACTATTATCCGTCTGAAAAATAATATTCATAAAAGAATATCATTAAATAAACTTAAATATACATAACACAAAATATACAATTCACTAGATTAAAATGTTTCTTCTAAACAAATATCTTGGATGTTTGGCAACTACTTAATAGGTGCACAGACTATGTGGCTGGAATATTGTGACACATTACTTGTAAATAAACATATGCATGCTGGTTTGCGCCGTTACAGACTTTGGGATGAAAAAATGTAATTATAATTTTGAAGGAATTACTTTTTTTAATCATCTCAGCCCAAGAAAGGCGATAAAAGCCACTAAGATACAAAGGACTCCTATGAGCAAAAGCGAATAAAAAATATTTTAGAAGTAAGTGGAAACCCATTGCTAAAAAGGAAACAAGAGATCTAAGTGCAAAAAAGGAGACATCCATTTATTATTTCAATAAATATGAATCTCCCTAAGCAGAATATCTGTTTTTTTTAATGGCCCTAACCTATGAATATTACAATATGGTAAATACTAAAATTAGACTGGGATAAGAACATCGTGATTGCGAAGCTGGCAAAAATACAGAGGTACCAAAACCTGGCATTGCAAATGAGAGTAATATACCGAGCAGCAGCTCAATTTGTCCCTTTTGTGGCTAGCGTAATCCGGGTTATTTCCATGAATCGTTCTGCCTCGCAGGAAGCCTTCCGGATACCTGATATCATTGGCAGTGCGCAGGTGAGATCAGTGCTTTGAACAGTTCACGTGCTTAGGAAAGTAAGCTGTGAATCAGAGCGGTTATATGATCATCATAATTCAGTTGAAACATCTAAGAGAATCAAATTAAATAATAATAATAATAATAATGAATACCTTGACGGTAAAGATAGCAAGGCTCGCATTTCTGCTGATTATGTAAATATTTTGTCTTAGTGAATGAAGTTGGGATACAGTCAATATAGTATGACATTAAGCAACTGGACATGTCCGCAAAGAGTTGACGCAATGGACGGGTGTCAGGAATAGTTGTGCTTTTCTTAAGTTTGACAGCTGAGTTGCAAAGACTTCGTTTGGACATCTAGATACTTGGGAACACAGTCACTGAAAGGGCGTCCGAGTGGACTAGGCTACCTAAACTGAAGGCATTCTGAACTGGGTACCACCTGAAAGATTACACACTGCTTTTATCAAAACCTGTCACAATATCGCGCATATTTGGCTGTGATTAATTTACAGCTGTTCCCGTAACCGGACACATTTCTATAATGTTTTCAGCTGCGCTCTGCCCGCAGACAGAGACCCAAACGAAGTGTTTAAATGTAGTTTATCCTCCTGAAGGCTGGTACTACACCTTGATCTTAGCCAAAGTGACTCAATAATCAAACATCTTGAATGAGAAATCTCTAAATGGAAAATCAAAAATGAGAAAAGAAAAACGACGTGGAGATAAAACATCAACGAAAGAAATCATATTCGCAATAACCATTTACAGATATGGCCTCATTGCTTTGCTTGTCATGAAATGAAAAAAAAAAAAAAAAGGAAATACTAAACGAGTTTAATAACAATCTAATAGTACCTTCCTCGTTAAAGCTGAACTATATAGATTAAGGTAGAATCCTTAAAAATTAGCACATTCAAAGAAAAGAAACTGGAAGTATTAAAGTTTCGCCGAAGGAATTAAGAGACTCCAGATATAGGCAATGTTGGGGGACTGTGAGGATTCTGAGAATGGTAGTAGAGATTTGCGAAAATCTGTCACTATCTCCAGCAATAATCATCAGACATGTGGTGAAAAAAAATCTTACAAATACATGCAATATAATAAGAATAACCGTTATATATCATTTTTTACACATGTATTTTTTGTTTCCTCATTTTGCATTATATCATTGTATTTTATTGCTTTTTTTTCTTTTTCTTTCCAAACCCTGGTTACTCAAACCTCAGCTCTGTTCCACTAATCTGCAAGGAATGAAATCCCCCAACCGTGTTCTGAGGGCGAATTTCTATGTTCGCCGGGACACTGCGCATCCATGCATAACGTCATACAATTTCAAGCCGCTGCAGAATGTGCCTGTTAGTTGCGATGCCCTCCCATGAATAGACCACCCCGAAACTTGGTGCAAATGTTTAATACTGCGGCTACTACTGTAACCAGACAATGTGGACATCACGCATATTACTATTGTAACAATTCTATTTTGGGAAACGGAACAATTTCCTGGAGTTTTCTGAATAATTCTTTCTATTTTTTCTTATATGCTGTGTCCTTTAAGGATTTAGACGATCATGAATTCACAAATTCTTTTGATTTACAATCTGTGAATTGCCATACATTTTGAGGAAAAAGAACGATTTCTCTTGCCTTCTAATTTTCTTTTTGTTTTTACCTAGACTTGTCGTCACCCAAATCTAGTGGGACGCAGAGTTGAAAATCACTATATATTATATATCTTCTACAAATAAGCTAAAGTAGGTTGAAAGAAGAGATTAAATCAGGAGATTCTCGCAATTAATTTGGCTCACTATTTACATTATTCGGACTTTTGTCTTCATCTTTGTTGCCATAGTTATCATAACGTTTCGGCCGTTCCTCGTTTCGGCCTTCATCAGGTGGAAGGAATGTCGAACTGAACCGTTTACTTCGCTTACTGGGGTAGACTGTTCTAGTTCCACATGCCATGTCTAATGGAAGTCAGCTATCAGTTATCTCCTGTTAATTCACCTCTCTAAGTTCTCCACTGACTTAACCAGGTATTGAACTCAACTCTTTGGGTCCTGTCACTGGATCTAACCAACACCTTTATCAATTGTGCCATGTGTCCTTAAGGACACATGTCAGAGTTGATAAAAGCGTACAACGGCCGAAACGTTGTGATAAATATGGCAACAAAGAGGATAGTCCGAATTATGTAAATAGTGTACATAATACTTTATCTCAGAAATATAGACAAATACTAATTTGGCTCACATTGGAAAAAATCAATAGCGATTTTTTTTTTTACAGGGAAAGAATTACAGAAATGTTGATGTTTAAGAAGGTGTATACTCTCTAATTTCAGCATATACACAGCAATCTTACTATTCCAGTTTCAATCCTTAGTCGTGTATCCCACGGCACTGAATTTAGAAAAGTAAGGCGATATAATTTAACCTCAATGTTAACGAAGAGAATATAATTGTCGAAACGAGTTCAAATTCTGACACATTTTCTGTAAACGCCCTTATGAAATGTATGAATACACCACTTCAATTAGGCCAAGAGGCTTCTGGTAACGTGTCACCCTAAGCAGCTTGCTGCATGATACTTAGAGAAGTGGCCGCCGTCATTAGAAGCATAATTCCTCGAAATAAAATGACTCAGCGTAGTACTTTCAAAATAGTATATATGTACGTTAGAAATTTTCTCTTTTATAGCTTTCATACTGTCGAAGAACGTAAAAAGTAGAGGGAGACAAATCCCTGGTACTTTCAAAATATTTGAAAAGAATCACAGGCAAAATGGCGTGAGCATGGTTGTGCAAAGGATACGTGAAAAGAAAAATAATCAAAAGGAAAAAGTTAAGAAAAATGAAATAAAAGATTGGAAGTATTAGTGTTTCGAGGAGGGAAACTTTCGCGATAACGAAATAAAGTCACGCGAGAAATTTTATTTATATTATATAGGCTACATTAAAATTTCTGTGGGGGCAGAGTTTGAAGGAGGAGAAAGAGTATCAAGAAGAAGGAAGCTTACAAAAGTTTAGATGACAAAGGGATTCAGTCATCTATAAAATAAATTATACAGTTGGACATAGTTATTCTATCCTCTTTTTAATTATGACAAAAGTCGTTTCTCTTTCTAATGTTTATTTCCCAAAAAAGGAAGCAAAAGTAACATTTTTAAATGAAATAAATAATTACATATAACTGGCACTGTATATAAAATATTTAAGCGACAAGAAACTAAAACAATAATTCTGCCTTAGAGTTGTTTTTTTTATTACGATGACGTAACAGGAAATAGTTTTCTCCAACTGCTCTTCAAATTTGATCTGATAATGTATGTTTTGAAAGGTCTCAATTTTCTGACAAAGTTGATGTATAATTAACAAACTCGATTAATATAGATATACAACTACGGTGGATTTTCTATGAAGGTCTTAAAATCTAAATACGTGAAAATTCAATATATTTTTTTCCTTTGCCCTAAATTGTCACCTGAAATAATTATGCGGCTGCTGATAGGATAGGTTTGCTTTAAAGAATAATGCATTGCGTACATCCCATGAAATCTAAGTATTTCTTTAATAAAATTCTTGTTAAATTCCGGTTTTCTACAGTTACAACAAAGAGTAAGATAGATAAGATTTATATATAAAGGGTACCCCGCACAAAATGACATAATTTAAAATGTAAATATCTGAATAACTACATGTTGCAGACAAACGATATTAAATAGGCTTCATGTTGAACAATAGAAGATTTATTTATCAAAATTCGAACAAGGTATTCAAAGAACCGAAATGTTCAATATGCACACCACCTCTGACACGGCACACGTCAAATCGGTAGGCCATCTGAGAAAATGTCATACCTGAACGTACCTATTCTATTATTAATAGACTCTCCCACACATAATAATAAGTAGTAGTCGTAGTAGTAGTAGTAGTAGCGGTCGCCAGTTTGGCTCAGTGGAGTTGAGTGAGTCAGTCAATGTCGGACATTGAAGTATCAACCATCACATCTAGATTGCTGCGTCATTAATTATTATTGGAAGTTCCTAACGTTTTGTATGTCGGTCCCTTTTTAGGACCGACTTATTGAAATACAAGCCTCCACTGTAAAAACTACTCTACAACAGAAAGATTGTAGGAAGATGGGGGATATAGTCCTGTCCATTCACATAGAAAAAAAAATCACAAGGTGTCAAGTCAGGTGAACGTGGTGGCCATTTCAACAGAACATTTTCATTATCACTGGCACGCCCAATCCATCTTCCTGGTAGATTCTCATGAAAGCACTGGAACTACCGACTTGACGTGTGTTGCATTACAGGTGGTGCACATATTGAGTATTTGTGAAACTTTGTGAAATCGGTTACAAAATCTACATCCCTTTGAATATCATGTTCGAATTTTGATAAATAAATCTTTTATTATTCAACATGAAGCCTATTTCATTTTGTTTGCCTGGGACATGTAGTTACTCAGGTATTCACATTTGAAATGATGTCAATTTTTTAGTGGGGAAACCCTGTATATTGCCAGTTTTCTTTATTTCTCCACTCAGTTTTTTATGGAAATCATGGTACATAATCTGTATCTACGAAAATAAATCAGAATATGAAATTAATTAACACTAAACACTTCAAATATATTCTTGTATGAGTAAGTTATAACAAAATTAGTCTAAGTGATCATGAAATTGAAGAAGCTGCGCCGGGGGTAGTTTTGTCCAACACCACAAGATGCTACAAAGTCAAAACATCTTCCTCAAAATTCGAGTTAGGTTCTACAATAGCCTCGTCAGATTTCCACTGTCATATGGATATCCTGCAGAAATGTTTAATCTATCAGCAATATACAACAGCTTTTTTAAAAAAAATCAAAGCTTAAAACTGGATTAAACCGAATGAACCCTATGGGTCGTGAAACAGAAAACATATTTGAAGACATCCAACACCAGCAACAACTAAATTAATTCGAAGAGAAAATAATGCCAATCAAGAAATTAACTTTCCACAGTACCTTAAACAAAAGGTTTGAAAGGAAACTGCCATCAATACTAGAAATAGCGACAACAGTGGACCTGAGATCGCTATTTTGCTGAAAAGAAATTGTTTTAAGATAAATATTTTATAAATTTCAAACGGCAGCAGCTCTAGCTGCTCAGATAATGAATATCAAATATTTTCTTCAAAGGAAACGGCTAAGATCACCATTAGACTGGTAGTGATTCTTCCCGGAACGAAACGTATCACTTCGGTGTTTTCTTTTTTGCCATTCGTTTATCCAATACATACAAGTAAGAACAATTTTAAGCGCTTGTGTAGGAATTATAAAATTCACGAACTGGCTTGGAAACTAAAAATTATGGACATCTGATCACATACGCGCACGCTTTCATTAAAAGATTACCCTTCCCGTTGCTGTAAACGGCGCTCCCTTAAGGAGAAGTACACATCACAGCCAAAGATCAAAACTAACAAAAACGTGTAATTTTCAGACGATAAAAGCTAAAAGTGAATATTCGTCAGTATATGCCTCTGCGAGTATGAATATGCGCAAGAGCAGAAAACACTGCCATTGCTAACATCCAAACAGTTGCATGGGACTTAGCCATAAAGAACAAAGAAATGTAATTTATGGGCAATGGAAGACGGGGTGAATGGAGTGTCAATAAGGATTTCGTGGAATTTCAGACAGAAAGAAAGGGTACAGTAAGGAATAAAAGGAAAGAGACTCCCAAGAGTGAAAAGAATGAAAGCGTGAAAACAATTGAAGAAAACAACGGCGCGCGAGAGAGAGGATAGGAAACGCTAGAGGGAGAAGGAGAAGGAGAGAGAGAGAGGGGGGGAAAGAGGGGGCGGGAAAGAGGGGGCGGGAAAGAGGGAGAGAGCGGAACAGGAAAGAGAGAGAGAGAGAGAGGAACGGGAAAAAGAGAGCGAAAGAGGAAAGAGAGAGAGAGAGAGCGAAACGGGAAAGAGAGAGAGAGCGGAACGTGAAAGAGAGTGAGAGAGAGAGAACGTAACGTGAAAGAGAGAGAGCGGAACGTGAAAGAGAGAGAGAGCGGAACATGAAAAGAGAGAGAGAGCGGAACAGGAAAAGAGAGAGAGAGCGGAACGGGAAGAGAGAGAGAGAGAGCAGAGGGAACGGGAGAGGGAGAGAGAGCGGAACGGGAACGGGAGAGAGAGAGAGAGAGCAGAACGGGAATGAGAGAGAGAGAGCGGAATGGGAACGGGAGAGAGAGAGCGGAACGGGAAAGAGAGAGAGAGCGGAACGGGAAAGAGAGAGAGAGAGAGAGGTAGGGAATGGGAGCGAGAGAGAGGAAGAGCGGAATGGGAAAGAGAGAGAGAGGAACGGGAAAAGAGAGAGAAAGGAACGGAAAAGAGAGAGAGCGAGCGGAATGGGAATGGGGAGAGAGAGAGAGAGAGAGAGAGAATGCGGAATGGGAACGGGAGAGAGAGAGAGAGAGAAGAGGGAACTGGGGAGAGAGAGAGAGAGAGGAACCGGGAGAGAGAGAGAGAGAGCGGTACGGGAAAGAGAGAGAGAGAGCGGTACGGGAAATAGAGAGAGAGAGAGCGGAACAGCGGAACGGGAAAAGAGAGAGAGAGAGAGAGCGGAACGGGAAAGAGAGAGCGGAATGGGAGAGGGAGAGAGAGAAAGAGAGAGAGAGAAAGAACGGGACGGGAAAGAGAGAGAGGGGAACGGGAGAGAGAGAGAGAGCGGAACGGGAAAGAGAGAGCGGAACGTGAAAGAGAGAGAGAGAGCGGAATGGGAACGGGAGAGAGAGTAGAGTATGGAGAGTCATGATTTTAAAAACATAGAAAAGAATCAGGAGAAAGTGAAAACGTTAATATATTCAAAATTTAACTTTGCAAAAAATGTCAATATGAACAAAAAATTAACGAAGAATAGGTTTGCTTTTTTTTAATCTCCTGTTAAAGGAACTGACAGAAGTGAACACTTAAAACCCGAATGCTTTATGCGATAGGGGAATGTCTGATATTTAATAAAGAGACCATGTGAAATTTAATAAAGAGAAAATTATTTAAAAATGAGAAAAATCGGATTAACTAACCCTTTTGTCTAAAAGCCTTAAGTATTTAACGTTAATTAATCTCGAGATAAGAAGTCTGTAACATTAGCTTTATAATCATTTTTTCACTGCGCCACGTTCTTGATACAATTATTGAAATTTCTTCTTTGACGTGACCCTTCAGAACGTAGGCAATCATGGCTCTCCACCGCTTCCTATCCCTTGTAGCTCTTAATAAGTTTTGTCTTTTTGCTACTTCTCCCAGACCCTGTTCTGTCATACACTTGCTTAAGCCCGTTAAGTATGTCACGCGTTGCTTTCCCGTGTCCCTCTTTCCCTCTATCCGCCCTGTGAATATCAGATTTTCCAAACCCTCCTTTCTCATTACGTGTCCCAGAAATTTCAGCTGCCTCTTCTTGATGTTAAGTATAAGTTTCCTCTTTGTTTCCATTCTCACATGTTTGGCCCATGGTATCCTTAGCATCCTTCTGTAGAACCACATTTTTGTCCCCTCGAGTCTCTTCTTCATCTTTGAGGAGAATGTCCAGCATTCACTGACATACAGGAGGACAAATATCACGTAACAATTCAGTACTCTTTTGTTTGTTTTCTATGAAACTTTCCTGTCTCGTAATACACTGCCAAGCTTTTAGAATGCGTCGATAGCCATCCCAATACATCACCGGATCTCAGTGTCGCACTTTCCATCGTCTGTTAGAACACTTCCCATATATTTAAATTTCTGTACCTGCTTGATTTTAGTGTCCCTGACTTGTAGATTACATTTTGGGCTCATATTCTTGCTGATGATCATGCATTCTAACTTGTAGTTTATGCTTAGTCCCTTCTTCTCACTCTTCTTAGCTGTCTTCTGTAGGAGGTTTTATAGTTTTCTCTCCGTGTATCCTATCAGCACAGTGTCATCCGCATATCTTATGCTAAGAATGTGGCCGCCAATGATGAATCCTTGTGGAATTTCCTGTTCTCAGAATTGTCTCGCTGTATACTTGTTTTCTAAGCATATCTTAGATGTGGCAGAAGGCCGAAAGTATGGGGTAATCAGTGATGATCGAACTCACTTTTCAGTCGTAACTGATCTAGCGAGATTATGCTTACACCACGTCGAGGAACCCAAATTGTCTCGCTGTGTATGTTGAATAAGTCAAGACATATCCTCACCTTACATTCCTTTCTATTTTTGTATATCTGTTGAACTCATTTTTATCCGTATGCAGGCGGTTTGCTGCTAGTAGAGATATTTTTTTATTATTTTAATGTCTTTTCCTAATATAAATTTACTAAGCCCCTTACTTATAAGGTGAAAAGTGTAGAATATCTTCCGTAGATCGTGTTTACTTACTTAATAATGGTGAGCAAGTTTGTCTTCTTAACTATTAGCCAACGGCAAGGTATCTGATATTTACTAAGTTTATTCTCAGAGATTTCGCAAACATCTATGCAGTCGAAACCAGTTTATGAACATGCTTACAAAGTTCAAATGATCTAAGCCACTATCTCTTCTCTAGCTGTAACAGAACAATAGGGATAAAACTGGCCTCTAATTTTCAATAGCTCAAAGAAAAACATGGTATAGTTTCATCCTCAGCGCTCAGATAGTTTTTTTCCAATCATGATGAATGTTTGAATTCTCAACGAGACGCCATGATTTACACATCTATTGGGTCTCAAGTGCACTCCAGACCCCAAGTGTAACTCTTATATACAATCCATTGCTAAAGGAGATGGGAAATTTTCGGTTCGTTCTTTGCTAGACATACTCAATCCTCACTTTCCAGATTTGATAGATTTAAAAATCGTTTTACACCGTCTGGTATGTGAAGATTTATTCTTTTTTTACAATGTCGCCTCTTTCCTACAGACGCGGTATGCATCCTCCTTCTCCTCCTTTGATATAGGTTAAATAGTAAGACGTAGTAGGAAAAATTATTGTTCTTCTTAAATTATTAATGCAATATTAACTCACGAGAAAGTTATTATCATAATCTAAAATATCTCGGCTGTGAATAAACCACAAAAGTTTGATAAGCTGTAAACATCAAATCAATCAATCCTACCGTTGCTATATTGCAAACCCGTCCCTATCCAGTAGCTATTTTTATGGCAAATGTTCAGATGAGCTCTTTTCTTTAGTTCTACCACTGGTACTAAAACACGCTATGCTTCTTCTACGATATCGAATCACCATCATTCCCCTATATTCCAAATATGAGAAAGTTCCATTTGGAAAGATTTTTTTCCCTTTAGAATGGCTAGTTTGTCAGAAAAAAACACCCCAAAAACCTCGTGTTTGCTACCAGAAGCACTACAATCTCAACCTTTTCAATTCATAAGTAAATCCGTACCGCTTTATCGTGTGTCTTACCGTTCAGTGTATCCTACATTATCTAACGTAAGGAGAAAAGCAAAAACGGAAGGAGGGGTGCCATTTATTATTGTATTATAAAATTTTAAATATAAAAAAATTTATAAAATAGGCAATTTGACTAAAAAAAAATATATCATAAAACAAGATATTTGAATCATTTAAATAAAAAACATTCTGAATGTTTTAACATATCGAGAATAAAGTCGGGATAATGCCTTAATAATATAGGATACAAATCTGATACTAAGATACACAATAAAGCAGAAACTGATCGATTAGCGTATGTATTACACGCTAAAGTGGCACTGGTCAATCATTATATATCCTCCTTATCCTCGTGTTATTTATTTTCTGCACTTTCTACTTCATTCATATTATATCTTATTCATCATAATTATTTATACAGTAATCCTCAGCATTGAGTGGCTCTCAAGTGTGTATTGTGTGAATTTTAATATGAAACATTTTTGTAGAAATTAAAATCGCAATAGCAGAAAGTAGCAAGGATCGAACTCACATTGTTAGCTTTCTATATAATTTGTTAGCAGCGAAAGAGAGGTCCCAAAGAAGACATTCAGGTCTGCTTCGGGAAGAAAGTAGCTTTCATGTTCGTTTTTTTTTTTTTTTTAAATTCCTATTGGTTAAAAACCTAGACTTTGAATGCCGATTTTGAAAGCGAGGAGACTCGAGATTTGAAATTCTCTGCAATACGATCTTCCTGCCTTTATTTGTTTCAGGTCATTTTTAAAGGCATGCCTAAGTTAAGCGTATTTCGAGGACACATGACAAAAAGCGAATTTGGAGAATTTAAACACTTACAGGACATACTGAAGGCAATTTGGACAAAAGAAAGCTACCTAACGAGCAGAACAAGAACTGGGAGGATTGATGAAAAACATACCTTACTAAGAGCTACAAAGGATAGGAAGTTGTGGAGAGCCATGATCGTCCACATTCTAAAGGGACACGACATAGAAACTAAGTAACATTATGAAGTGTCAATATGTAGGGGGAAAAATGAACGGATAGTTCGATGCAAATAAAGTCACTTGTAATCAATGACTATGAAAAATGGCGAAAAGAAACAAATGAAAAATGGCGAAAAGAAACAAATGAAAAATGGCGAAAAGAAACAAATGAAAAGGGAACTTTAACGTGAAAGGAAATTTAAAAAGGTTGAAAGGGGATGTTGGCGAGGATAAAATGGCAGTTGAGAACTTTAGAGAAAGAAGGGAGAATGGATATAGAAAGTTACAACGGACTAAATCATCAAGGAGGAACGAAAAAGAGATCTTTTTTCTTTTTCTTTTTTCGAGTGATCTGAACGAGTTGAAATTAGAGAAAGTTGCAAATGAAGGAAAGATAAAAATTGGTTAAGGACGGGAAAAAAAGGGGAGTAGTGACGATGAATGAAAACAGCGTTGGGGTCGGGGCAGAAAAGATACGAGGTAAAAGAAAAGCCAAAATAAATAGATAATGAAAAGAAAGACAAGAGACAGTGGTGAAACGGAAAGAGAGAGAGAAAGAGCTGATAGCGGGAGGTTTCAATTTACACATCATATCGATTTCAGGCATTTTATAATCGAACGCGTTGCACACAGGACGGATCCAAAATAGCGTCACGGTTCACTCTTATCATCTCTTGTCACTGGACGCTTTTGATGTTGCCGCTAAAAACCTTCAATTTCCAATCCTAACCCTGACCCGAAACTCACCGTTCCAACCAGCCCCACCGCCGTCAGCAACACACGACGCAAACCCCGATCACAGCGTCCCCTACCCTAGTGGAAATTCCCCCCCCACTTCTTTCCGAGCTCTGCAGCACCCGTGATTGCGTTCACTCAGAATCTGATCATTATCGATGTGTTCCTCGAGAGGAACAGTAGCAGCAGAGATCAATACCACAAATGCCGCCGCCATGATCGTTGCTTCTATCACCATCAACAACGACCACGGTATTGTCACTGTCTCTGCTACCATCATGTTGACCCGCACTCTCCTCATCCCCTGAAATAGGTCACGCGCCAATTCTGCATTCTTAGAGTTGTTTTTGCCTGTCATTTTTAGATTTTACCATTTTTTTTTAACGTCGTTATTCTTTCATTTTTTCCTATATTACTCTCAGTTTCTCTCGACCGTTGATTTTTTTAATCTCATTTTTTTCTCTTTTTTAAAATCCCCTACTTTTTTCGCTACTTATTTTATAAAGAAAAAAATATATTTATATACTCAAAGAAATATTAAAAAAAAAAAAAAAAACGTTGGTTAACAAACGTTATATTTAAACATGACTGAAAGGTTCTATTGAAAGTAGAAAAATCACTGGATGATTATACGAAGTTGTCAGGATAAGAACAGCTACATTTTCGACGCACTGAAACACTCA